CTCAAGCACATCGAGCGTGCCGTGTCGGCATACATACGAGAAGAATGCGGACAGCTGCCTGTGCTTACGAAGCGCATGGTACCAGATCTGAAGACGGGCGCAAGAGACGGCTCGACAATGCTGATAGCGAAGCTGACCATGGGCGTCCTCCTCGCGGCATGCTTCTCGCCCAAGAGCAACCAACGCATGCTACAGGTCATGGCACAATTGGGCACCAAGACGGCCGAGACCATCGCAGAAGCCATACAGGACATGCAGTCGCTGGACACGAGGATGTCTGAGCTGGGCGTCGACTCGGAGCTGACACCGGAACCCAATCTGTCAGGGTTTAGGACACCCACGCGGGCTGTCTCTGGGCAAATTACGACTACTGGACGAGACAACGAGCTGGAGCAAGAGGCGCTGCTGTTCGAGGCGAACAAAGACAGGGCCGCGTTGAGGAGCCAGTCCGAGAAGCTAAAGGAGGAACTGAAGGACTCTCGAGCCCGCATAGCCCAACTTGAAGAGGAGCTGGGAGAGGCAAACCTGTACATGGATGATCGGAAGACGCAGGCACAGCGGGCGCAATCAGAAGACGTCGAGCAACTACGGAACGATCTCGCACGCGACCGCCAATACATCGACCAGCTCGAAACTGACCTCGCAAATGCTAGAGATATTCTGGAAAGCCAGAAGCGGCGGTTGGACAGATACCAGGGCGAAGAGGCGTCGAAACAAGACCTGCGCGATCAACTGCAGCTCATCAGGGCGGAGCGCGATGAGCTCAATCAAAAAGCCAAGGCGAACGAGAATCTCAAGAAGAAGATCGAGTCTCTGACAAAAGAGACGAAGAACTTGGAAACGCTCCGCGACGACTACCAGCAGGCGCGGGAACGGCTGATGGTGCTAGAAAACTCTGAGGAGCGATGCGAGGCTCTGGAGAAGGTCAACAAGGAGAACAGCCAGACTCTCGTCAACTGCGAGCAGGCCATCTTTGAAGAGAAAGGGAAACGGACAAGAGTCGAGCACGAGAACCTCTTGCTGATGAAGCAGCTTGAACAGACCCGAGAGCTGCAATACAAGGCCGAAGATGCTAAGAACGAGCTTGAAGACCGGATACGAGAACTTGAGACCTCAAGTAACGCAGATCGTGGCGGTAGTTTGGAGGACGAGCTTACCCGGGACGAAAATGAGAAGAGCCCAGAAGATCCGGCCAGTACCAGACCCATTACAGATGTGCGAGTCAGTGCCGATGCAATCGCGCTGCAGCAGAAGGTGGACATACTGAGCGCTCGACTGAAGTCATTGGAAAGCGAAACGCTCAAGCAGATGCAGGAGAACCTAGGTTTGAGGTCCGACATAATGGCTGAGAAAGATGCCGAAAGTGAAAAGCCATTCCTTGAGCAGAATGAGAAACTCCAGACTGCAGAGACCGAGCTGGAAGAACTTCATCGCAGATTACGAGAGAAAGACCTCCAGGTGGCAGAGCTTCGCAACGAGCTCAACAAGAAGTCCGACATCAGTGAGGAGGCAAGAGCAGAGGGCTTACAGGCTGAGCATGAGCGTATGCTGGCAATACAGCAGAAGACCAATGAAAGGTTACGAGACCTCGAACTTGCTAATGAGGAAAAAGCTGGCTTATTAAGAGCTGCTCTCCTCGATCGCGAGAATCTATCTCCCGAACTTCTCGAACTTAAGCGGGCCGAGACGCTACGGCAGGTTCGTGAGCAGATCGAGGGAGTCATAGCAGCGCCAGCAGAAGTGCAACCAGACGTGCTCGACACAACATCTACAGAGATTGCGGAGACAGTGCTCTCCTCAGAAGCAGCCTTGGACAAGGCAAAAAAAGTAAGCATCACCCAAGTTTCTCATGACAAGTCGCCTTCCTCCGCATTTGATGCTGCGGTTTCTTCTATGATCTCAGTCCAGCGGCTTGAACCTTCATTTTCTGCGACTACCCTGAGCTCGCCGTCTCGGTGTCACACAGGGAACAAGATGTCGTTCTCTGAGATGTCTACTTCGACGGCTGGTACCGGCAAAAGCACGTGGGGTCGTATGGCACAGATTCTGTCACCGAAGAGAAGAAAGGAGTCGACGCTGGGTGGCTCTGAATACTTCTCTGCTATTACGTCGGTGGACCGTATGGCAAGTTTGTCCCTGGCTTCACTGCCTTGGAGTATACTTATCATGCGACGCTCGTCTTTCCATGTCCTTTTCGTGCGACTGTGCTCGACGTTCCTGCTAACATAACCACAGGACCTTCAAGAACAGGTGATCGCCAACGGCACATTACGAGAGCAACTCGATGTGGCCAAAAAGGAGACAGCGGAAAAGGGTTCGGTATGTACTGCCACATCTCATCTGAATGACATACACGTGGACAGTGTGCTAACCATTCTACAGGCGGAACTCCAACAAGAAGTCGAAAACCTCCGCCGCGAAAACGCACTGATCACATCCGCATGGTACGATATGACCAGCCGTCTCCAAAGCAACACCGTCATCCTTCAACGACGAAGCGAAGCGCCCAAAAGCTGGCTCGGCAAACAACGCGTCGTCGTCGGCGGTGCGGCCAGTGCGGTACGTCCAAACCTCCATTCCAACTCCCGTGCGACACATCGCTAACACATAACAGGGCCGAAGGTAGCACCCTCTCGACCTGACGCGATATATACTCCTTGTCCTCATCTTGTTCAACTTGCCCCGAAAACTTGGCTCGGCATACCGCAGGTTGGCGGCGTTGCTCTGTATACATTGCATCATAACATGTTACATCCCACATACTTGTTAGCTTCCTTTTTGTTTGTACGTTTGTCTATTATACCCACTTGCATGTAGCGAGGCGTTTTGTTGAGTGGGCAAGGAAGGAAGAGGGGGAAAGGTGTATAGACATTGAGAACTTAAATATACGACATTTCAGCGCTGGGGTTCGTCAATGGCGTTTCGTTGCCGAGTTCCATTATTCGTGGGGCGGTTGTGAAACATGCGAGACGGGCGACCCGCTTCTCATTCCCGAAGTCCTTGAGGTTTGCACCTTAATTCAGATCGAAGTTTCAACATCTCAAGACGCATGTGCCGATCAAAGAAACACGCCTGTGCTTCAAGCCACATTGATGGTTAAGCATTAAGCAGACGTCTCTTTTGGGGATAGATGCTCCACTTATCATGGTCAAGCTTTTAGACCACCGACAATGGCTCTCTTTCTACCTGAACACTACCCACTCTGACGCGTTTGACATCTGTCCAGCATCTAGCCTTGTCACCATTGGTTTCACACTCGCTTTCCATTTGGTATAAAGACCTTGGACGCCCACCAGAGATGACATCCTCATCACATTCATTCCGTCTTCTCGACACTTGTCATTCATTTCACACTCGCTTACCCTTCATCGATTGAAGCAGCTTACTTTCTCTCCCAATTCGTTGACCTCGAACCTTATTTCTACCACCAATTGTCATCAAACCACTCACAATGTCTTCCAAAATCCAAGTCGCCGCCCTCATCGGCGCTCTCGCCACTTCCGTCCATGCTCACGGCCTTCTTTCAGCAATCAGCGTCGACGCCACTGCATTCACGTCTTACAACCCTTCATTCCAGTACCAGAACCCTGCTCCGGAGGTCATCGAATGGTCGTGTCCGCAGTGCCAGGACAACGGCTTCGTCGAGCCGAGCATGTACACCGACGTGGCCAAGATAGCGTGCCACAAGGACGCCACTGCCGGCGCGAAAGTCGCTCAGGTGAAAGCCGGCGGAACCATCGATATCCAGTGGACCACATGGCCGGAATCCCATGTCGGTCCTGTGATCGATTACCTCGCTAAGGTGGACGATGTCACCACGGCCACTGCAAAGGATCTCGAGTTCTTCAAGATCGACGCGGCGGGCTACGAGGGCGGTGAGTGGGCTGCGACCAAGCTGCTCAAGAATAACCTCACGTGGAGCGTTACTGTTCCGGAAAACATCGCCGCTGGGCAGTATGTCCTGCGTCACGAGATTATTGCTCTCCACTCTGCTGGCCAGGATAACGGGGCGCAGAACTACCCCAAGGTAAAAACTAAGCCCTGTGCTGCAGTGTGGCAAGTAAACTGACCTTTGCACAGTGCATCAACATCGAAGTCACTGGCTCCGGCACCGAAACGCCCGCCGGCGTGACAGCCGACAAACTGTACACACCAACTGATCCGGGCATCAAAGTCAATGTTTACAGTGGCGACTTGAGCAGCTACGTTATTCCCGGCCCGGCGCTTTTCAGCGGTGCCACCAAGCCTTCGTCTGGCGCAGCCTCTTCTCCTACACCTACCAGTACCCCTGTTACTGCTTCTTCAGCTGCTGTCCAGAACAACGCTGTCTCTGCTACGCCCGTTGCATCCAGCACTCCGTCTGCGTCCGCGGGATCTGGGTCCAGCGCTGCTGAGAAGGAGTTTACGCTTGATACTTTTGTTGCGTGGCTTCAGGAGACGGCTGGGTCTTCGAGCAACGAGCGCCGCCATGCTCGTGCGTTCAGCGGTTGAGCGTGGCTGGAGATGACGTGGTGCTGTCGTTTGAATGAGATGCTATTTTTACTGCATTGGAAGCCTCCAGGGATGTGGAGAAAACATCTCGGGTGGTTATTGTGTTTTCGCTTCTTGTATCTATACCTGGTCTTGTTAGCCTGACTTGACTCTTTTTCATATGAATGACAAGTGTTATTTAGAATTCTTACCTTTGATGCTTGTAGTGCTGTGATGACTCTTAAGTTTCTGCGCTGCTCGTCGCATTCTTACAAATTCAACACAATTCAGCCTTACACCCTACGCATTCCATACTGACACCCCACCTCCCAAAACATCAGTAACTCACCCCATTTCCTCCTCGCTACTCGCTTGCCTCGCCGACCCACTCCCCACACTACACCACAGAATCCCAAACTCACACACCCAACCTTCCCTCAATCTCACCGTCGAACACAGTCTTGATACCCGTGATACGCTGTTCCCTACATATATCAATTTACGGCCCACTCCTCCACAATCACCACCCATCCGAATTAGTCCAGTGGTTTAGGATATCCCGCTTTCAGCTCCCAGCAGTGGGATTGAAGGGCCGGGAAGACCCGGGTTCAAATCCCGGATTCGGAAGCTATTGATGCTTTGTACCTTGTTTTTTTTTTGAGGTTTTTGAGGGGTGGAAGCGTGGGGCCCGGGCGGGGGAAGGATGTGGTGAATGTAAGGTTAGTGTGTGATATGCTGGCCTGGAGATAGATGGGGGTTTGAGCGGTGTTGTGGTGGGCGATGTGATGTGGGTTGTGGTGGAGTGGGAGATTAGTGTGCTTTTTGATAGCTGTGATGAGCACTAAGACTTTGTTGGGGATTTCTTTGGTTTCTGACTTGTGTACAATGCTGCATCTACCTTGCTACATACATATCTGTAAAAGATGTTCTCTCATTTCCTCCGTGTGTCATTTTGCTGTTATAATGTTCGAGTGGTCAGTATTGGGTGCGCATGCCCGCGGAAGCGAGCTAACGTTATTATTTTGCGATGCGATAACGTGAGATGGGCAAGTGATAGTAGTAGATGAGATGAGATGGAGAGTGGTGTTGTTGGTTTGGCTAGGCAATTCGGTCGCTACGTCATCGATCCTTTCCGCAGCTAACGGAATGGGCATATGTTGTAGACGGCAGTGCTTTGAAGAACACAATCTCCCTGAAATATCCCAACGTTATTTGCAACATGTATAGACTTTTGTTACTGCTGTAAAGCTTTGCGATGATGCTTATGCTTCAGGTCCACTAAGAGACTAACTACCGGTAACAGACCCCCGCCCATGCATCTCCCGCAAACCCACGAAACCCAGCGAGTCCTCATAAATATAACGTTGCAACCAATGTAAGCTCAAACACGCCATCAGCACTGGCGCCTACGCTAAGACAAAGCTCAGAAGCACCGGAAATTGCCTCCTTGGGTATAATCTCCTGCACGTGATGATTTTGTGCGTTCCAGCGCATTACGTGCCGGCCTTGCGCGACATCAATTTGCGCACATCCCCCACACCCTGACCGCCTGCAATACTGCCCATGTTCAATCTGCGCCAGCGCACCGATAAGGATTGAGATGGGCCTCGGTAAGGAAATGAAACGCTGATGGACGAAAGAAGTGGAATGGCGATCTGCGGGTTGTTAGTGAGGGCTTGCTGATCCTTGATTACCCGGATACGGTCACGACATGGGAGTGGAGAAGGGCGGCCACAGACAGTCCGGCATAGCTGCTGTACGGTAGGCCTTGACACCGACTGGGAGTAAATGTGATAGGTACGTACTTCGCGGTGTGAGAAGGTCAGCCTGTGTACCTCACGACGCTGGCCTCGGTGGTGAAGTTTGCCGCCTAATGATCGGTATGGATGGCACCAGACCCATCGCAGACATCGCAGTTCTTGGTTCCTCTGCGCTTGCAACCTGAGCAGCCGGCGCCGTTGCAATCGTCGCACTTCGTAGTTCCGTTTCCTTGGCAAGATGGGCAGTCTTTCATGTTGTAAGGTTGTCCGGATCGAGCGGGCGGAAGCTATAACCGAGGAAAGCGCGAAGCGGAAGGGCAGATCTTGGAACTTGAAGGAGAGTGGTTAATCGCAAGAAGACAAAGGTCGGAACGCTGCTGGGTACCGGTAGAACGAGGAAGGGGCTGGCGCAAGTCTTAAGGTTGGTAAAAGTTGGGCGGGAACGCGGCAACTTTTGAGGTCGAGTTTCGAAACAACAAAGCAACCTGGGATATTAGCATAGTCTTTATATAACTTCCCAAACTGGGCCCGCAGTCCAACCTTGCCGCTTACCAGGAGTGGTGGAGCGGCACAGCCTCCGGTGGCCTACCAACTGTGCAGCGGGTGAACACGAGACATCGTGAAGTCAGTTCATTGTTGGCTCCAAGGCCCTGGTAACTAATTCCACTATCAAAGCGCTTGCTTGGCGGACACCGCGTAGAGACTGCTTTGACGGAGAATTGGCTGCGCTTCACTGCGTGGTTCCGGAAGTGTTGCATCTCTCTTCACCGCATAGTCTGCAACTTAAACTTGCCATCTTCACGTTGATGGACACGTTCAACCACACCGGTACTGATCAGCCCGAAGTGACTCTGAATAATCCCTACACCGCATCTCGATCTTCTTGGTAATCTGAAGGCCGCCGGTACGCTGTCAGTCGCCTTGATAGTGTTCCGGTGTGAAGGACCTTGACGATAATAGCATCGTGGATTAAGGGCACCGAAACAGAAAAGGCGCAGCCACAACCGGAAAGGTCATCCGTGGATTCACGGTACCAGGAACGTGCCGCAGCCGGTGTTGGTTGAGACGGTATGCTGATTGGAGAAGAAGAGATGTCAGACGAGAGATTTCCAGTGGGCCGGCGCAATCGCGCATTCGGCTTCTAGCGTGTTTCCTGTTTCGCTGACCACGCAACGCCATTAACGCCCTCATCCCTTGTGTCGGGTGCTTGATCACAAGGCGCAGCAGACTTTGGGCACCGAAAGCATCTCTGTCGACTGGGTAGCCAACGATAAAATGATGCTGGAGCACGCGCTCGAAGATGAGCTGGGTGGCATGGTACTGCAATTCTGCCTGATGAGGTACAGACACACGTGGCGCGCTGCAGGAGCGTTGAAGGGTCGCGCCGCCATGGTGGGTAGGGCTGAATTATGGTTGGCTACTCCTTAGTGCGACACCACATATATACCGGGATCAAGGTCGTTCTACATATCAGATTTCGTGTCTGAGATAACAGCTCTAACCGACGCCTCAGTAAGACTATCCAGGGCCTGCCGACAGACGTCACCCTTCGTTGCTGCCTGAAAATCTGCGTCTCCATCTTCATCGGGATGGCAAGCACGCCAAAGACGCAGGCATACGATCCCACATCAAACAACCAAGACAATGGTTCCGAATACGCCACAATACCATACGCGACGATTCAACTACGCGACGATGCAAGGAGATTAGTGCACTCCAAGCGCTGGAAAAACCGGTACCTGTGGGCTAATAGGCGAACTTGCACAGCCTCACGCTGGCATTTTCCCAATGAAATCCAGGAACACAACCCATGAAGGCTAGCGCAGATTCAACAAAGACCTACAGATACGGCTGAAGGCGATGGAAGGATCGTATCATCGTACCATACCCAGCCCCACATCTACCCGCGAAATCCATCAGGCACCCGCTATGATATGACGTGGCCTGAGGCGTATACGCAGGCAGACTGCTATTCTCGACATGTCTCGAAACACCAATCAATTGATCTCGTGGGCCAACGCTGGGGTATACGTAGACATATACGTCACCTCTATCTCGGCTGTGAATAAACGTAGCCCTGATCCAGATGTGGCATCGAACCAAGCAGACTCATAGCCACAAAATCGAACCACACCCTTATGCGAGAACTATCGTCAAATCTACGAGGAAAAACGAGCAACCAACTGGACAAGTTATGGTCTCCGTCGTAGAGGTTTCGATGTCTTGTCTCCATAAGAGGAACAAGACAATGACATCAATGGTTTGTTCACGTTTCATCATCCGCTTCTCTCCTCAGCTTGTGCCATGGGATGTATTCTTCTATACCTTTTATACCTATTGCAGCCATTAAATCCATACCAAGCAACGACGCACTGCCTCTAGATGATCGGAGTCTAGGTTTGTACTCTGGGAATCGGAAATCGTGGAAGCGGTAAACAGCTAGCTGTTGGTGTACTGTCGGTATCCACGCTCTCGTGTGAGGTGAGTGCTTCATCACTGAATGCACGTTGACTAAGTGCAACTTCCGAAAGGCGAAATTCAATTCTTAGGTCAGTTTCCTCAACGGCGAGAAACTCCAAACGCGCTAGCTCCCTGGGTGTTTGCCTCGAGTATTGAAATGTAAAGCTCTTGAACCGATTGCGCAGGGAATGTCAGTACCTGCTGATCCCACCGCGCCTTCGTTTCTCACTATATCTCCCGAGATCCGGAACGTGATCTATGACGTCCTGTTCTATAAACCGAAAGGTATCAGGATTGCGCCATCTTCCGCCTACACACCTGACAATATATTTGAAGACAAGGTTCTTCTTGGATATCTTTCGAAATGCCTTCCAATCTTGTCCACTTGCCGCCAAATCTACCACGAAGCTGCATCGACGTTTCTCTCAAATAACACCTGGATCATTTCAAGGTACACTGGCCGTGATCCAGTTGGAAAGGTCGATGATGGCACTGTGAAACAATGCAATGGAGCAGCACGCTGGCTATATGGGCTTGGAACATCTGCAATAATGGTAAAGAAGATTGTCATCGACTTCGACAAGACGTGCAGGCGATGGTGTTCTGAGCATGGTGCGCATCTCAGTGGGTTACTAAATGAGTTAAACGGCGTGGAAGGTGCTATCAGAATGCAGTTTTTCTTGCTTGAGATCTGGCAACGTCCTTATTTGGAGGTAGAATTCGTGCATCCAAAAACTCAAGCTCATTACGACTTCCACCCAATGGGTAAATTCGACAGTGGCCTATGGGAAACTGGAGTCCAGACTCAAGTCCTTACCACCGCTCTTAAGACTATACTTCGAGACCCGCTCAGAATCATTGCATAGGGACCTCAGTTGGACGAGATATGGCTCCAATGTGACGGCTCTGAGGGTTGCATCTCATTCCAAGTTGACTGGATTGACTCTGGCGCAACGCCTAAGAAACGCGTTGCCATTCTCGATGGAGGCAAGACGCTTGAGTGGATCAACGAGCACCATACGGCTACGTTCTCTAGCGTTTCGCCTTGGATTCGATCGCAGATATTCTCGATGGTTGATCAAGACTGATATATTGAACGCGGCCGATACGACGACATCAGTACCGTTATTTGGGATCTAAACAAGAAAACTAAGAACGTAGCATTGCCCGTGTGTGCAACAGTCAACCTCGAGTCCCGCAGCGAGCACTGCACCAAATTTTGGGAATCCAAACATCACTTCCTCAAGCTGGGTACCTTTTCAGCCAACACGGACTTTAAGCACTTCCAAGCCCTCAAAGAATTTTGGGAATGTACGAAGTGGAGCTGTGTGTGGGAATGACAGTGGTCAGACGCAGAGATTCTTCTGACAATCGTTCTTGAATTCCATCTCAAAACTGGTGTGGCTT